CGTCGATCTGTATACCCAAATAGTCATCTTTGCATCAGTAAGCAAAGGGGTTACAAATTATGCCTGAAATCAACTATGCGGAGAATGAAAGGCCATATTAAAACAAACAGAATAAGACATAGCTAATTAATCCGCAATGTAATATAGTAGTCTATCGGATGATGGAACAATGCCGACATTTCGGCCCGTATTCCAGGAGTCAATTTCAAAGTAAATATGTGGATGACGTTTGGCGTTTGTTCAGGCCGTGTGCAAGAGGTGTAAACTGTGGGGGCCGGGAACCGCTGCTTAATAATTAATAATTATTATGCCGTTTCAGACACGTCTACCAACGCACTAACCAAATACTTCGCATTAAACAAGAAATGGTACGCGTGAGAAGAAAGGTGTGTGATGACTACAACTTTCTTGTCTCACAACTGTTGGTATTGCACTCATAAGACATAAACAGCTGATGGCGCATTGCAGACTAACAGCAATCAAAGTGATGAACTGCAGAAGAAAATGTCATGAATAATATGAATTACAGAAGTAAAATTGAAACGGACTCTCAGATGGCTACTATTGACTTCTTTCCTAAATATAATAATAAAATCGCTAAAAACACGACATAAAGGTAGGGAACCCGAAAATAGCAAATCAGTATTTACCAAGCTTTCATACAGCAAGCAATTGAGCGCTAGTCAGAGTTAAATAAAACGATAATTTTAATGGAGTAAATCTACTTTCAGTAAAACTGTGCACGTTTTCAGTAGTGAACCTTGTTTAATATGAATCTTTAGTTCCATTTCTAACCACCAGATATCATAAATCCGGTTTAGTCCCTTCTTTAGACTCTATTAACCTCGGATGATGATGACAAAACAACAATATTGCAAAAGTGGAGAGCTTAAATAACTTTAACGTCACGAGTGTACTCAAAAAAAACTTCTTGAAGTTTTTCTTCATTCACTGCCATTTTATTATGAACAAGGAATTCGACCTTCGATTCCTCAGCAAAACGAGCCGAGAACGAAATAGAAGAAAATAGTTGATATGCGAACAACAGGCATAGCACGTGTTCCAGTGTGGTTATGTCATAGTGAATGAGACAAGTGACCACGTCGTCTGACACATGTCTTACGGACGCAAGCCGACTTCATCAGGTGACAGCTGACCAGAAATTAGCACAAGGGAAAACGGCAAATAAAAAAATTAAGGAAGCAAATAATAGAAAATATTTGCATACCGGATCAACACCGACATGCATCTCGGTCTGCAGGAAAGACTACAGTCGAAGAGTTCATGCAACAAATAGATACAACAAACTGTCGAAAGTAGTGACCAAGGTCTTTAAGCAAAAATTGTTTAAGTGAAAGTGTGACAAAATGAAACAGACTCATTAAATCAGATTACCGAATAAACAGTTTAGGGGTATATATAACTGGAAAGATAAACAATACTGATCAGGTTTCTACAAGCAAGACGAAACACAGGATGGCATTTGATAGATCACCGAAAGAACGTCGTACTTCCAACAACAGATTAGCAATGAAGTTAGTCACTCGGTCTTCCCACTGTACCATGTGGCAGGCGATCAGCGACAAGGGGATGCCGGGCAACGCCAGCAGCAACAGCCACGGATCAGAACGACGGATTAACGAGAGCCCGCGCCTTCTTCCGACAATCTGCATCACAATTAGAGCGCCATACGTTACTGCACTCCAGTACGCCGAACCGAAGACAATTATACCGGACAGAAACGGACAGAACCTGCTGACCGATTGGTCAATGCTGTTCAGTAAACGCATGAGAAAGTTCATCGGTGGATATTTGATCCGATATGGTGTCCGGCATTGGTGGCACTCGACAGACGCGGTTAAATCGCCATTTTGCTTTACGTCGATCCATCGCTGCAGGCACCGCTGGTGCACCCACTTTGTCGAACCACGACATCGACATGGCTTCACCCATGACGCCATAGGATCTTCAGAACTCGTTGCAAAGCAAACGAAACATTGCATGTTCTCCACAGCTTCGTCTGCCATTTTTCAGTCTTTTGACATATTAGGATAACGCGATGATGCTGTACATTACCAGAAACCGTACCCTGATACGATTAACAACAATTTCTGCACTCGCTTTCGACGCATTAACAAGAGAAGTCAATACAGTAAAACAGAAAATAGTAACCATCAAGTACAATATTACTGTCATAAGTTGAAAACAAACTCAATTTGTTTGATTCAGATGATCAAACTGGAGCATTTGTGCCAAAAACTCTCTGTGTAAAATTTCAGCTAATCAACTTCAAGGAAACTCCAGCTATATTATGTAGCTGTTCGTCCTCCTACAATATAGCACCATGTCACCAAACGGATTATGCTGCTGCGGCCGTCATCGAATTGTTCCTGGTTGACTTAGACGTGCTGGGCAGAGTGAATAGGTGGAATCTGTTTCATACAATTAAATGGATTGCCCTAGTTGTAGCAAGCTCATTAAAAAGTTTGTAATGTGCTTCATTCAGGCGCCTTGCCAGCATTGTTTTTGTGAGTCATCGTGATTATATGGTACGACGTATCTGTCCCCTTATAACAAAGTGATGCTGTTGCGGCGTGCGATTGGCTACCACTGACGCGGGCTGAATATAGTGCACAGCGGATAAAGTTCTGGAGAGAGTGTGTGGGTAGAGACCGTTCACCACGACAGTGTAGATTATCAAAGGTGCGGTAAGTTTACATCAAAATGCATCGAATTCAAAATTACTAGAACCATTTTAATATACTCTATTGTGCGTGTGCTTTTTATTACTTAATTTAATCTATCTAGAACTTCATCTGTTCAACCCTCTCTATTTGCATTCCTGAAGGTCACTGGCCTACCGGATCGCCGTCACATTGCAGGCAGGTGAGAAAATGCGCATCTTGCCATGAAGTGACGATGGCATGCAAGAACAGCCATGGCCAAGCCAATAAATGAAATACACACACACGTAGAATATAAAAATGCAACACATTACGTGAAAACTTACTATACCTAAGGCAATCTACTAAATAGCGCATACCCACACGATGGTTTGAAAAGATCCCGATGATGGGGAAAGCGAGTGGCAGCTCCTTAAGA